CTTGTTCTTCAAGACCTTCATTCCATTTGGTAGTAGCACCAAATCATAAGTGTGGTTCTTCTGAAGAGCATTCATCTCTTCCTGCATAGCAATTAACCACTTCTCTTTCTGCTCACTCTCAACTGCTTCCTGGTAACTCTCTGGTTCACCTACATCAGTAAGCATCACATACTCATCTGTAGAGTATCTTCTGGAAGGTTGACGTTGTCTAGAAGATCTTCTCAATTGAGGTTATGCGGGAACTTGCTCTCGTACTTCTTCTTGCTCAACATGTCCTGCAGGTAAATCAACATTAGGCTCTACACTATTTTCCTGCACATCTCCCCCATCACCTTGATATACTGGAGGAGTAACTGGGTCACAATCTGCTAATCCTTCTGCAGAAGTCTTGGCTGGTGCCTTCTTCTTCAAATCCTCAAAGGTTTGATCCTCAAAGAAGACCACATCTCTGCTCCTGAACAGCTTCTGCTTTTCTGGATCCCAAAGCCTGTAACCAAACTGATCATGTGAGTAACCAAGAAAAATACATTCTTTAGACTTACCATCCAGCTTGGACATCTCATTATCTGGAACATGTGCAAATGCATGACAATCAAACACTCTCAAATGCCTGTAGGAAACATCTTTCCCTGACCATACATGCTCTGCAACATCACCATCTAGGGCTGTGCATGGTGATAAGTTGATCACATCAACTGTAGTCCTCAAAGCCTCATCCCAAAACCTTTTGGGTAGCTTGGCCTGTGAAAGCATATATCTGATCTTTTCCATGATGGTGCGGTTAATCCTCTCTGTAATTGCATTATGCTGAGGTGTACCAGGAACTGTCATCTCATGTTGGATCTCATGTGACCTGCAATAGTCATTAAACAATCCTGTATACTCACCACCATTATCTGATCTTATGCATTTCAATTTCCTTTCTATCTCCCTTTCAACCCTAGCATGAAACTCTTTAAAGACATTAATAACCTGATCTTTGGTCTTCAAAGCATAGGCCCAAACTTTCCTGGAAAAATCATCTATAAAAGTGACAAAATAAAGTGCACCACTTATACCAAGAACATCAACAGATCCACCAGGAGTTTTTGTCCTCAAAGGACCACATACATCTGTATAAACACGGTCTAAGGTATGCATTTTTCTAGACAAAGCAGCACTAGCAAATGAAACTCTATGTTGTTTACCGGCCAAACAATCAATACAAGGGTTCAGATGTATACCTCTGAGATATGGTAATACCTCTCTCTTGGAAAGAGCTTGCAGCCTCTTCTCGCTCATGTGTCCCAATCGCCTATGCCACAACTCCATACTGGAGTCTTTCTCTGTAGCATTTAACTGCTCACCATAAGCTTTAGCCTGCAACCTGTACAAAGTATGACATTTCTTTCCACTAGCTATAACAAGAGAACCCTTACTGAGTTTCCATTGCCCTCTATGAAATCTGCTTTCATAGTCTTCATCATCTAGTCTTCCAACTGAAATTAAATTCAGCCTCAAGTCAATCACATGCCTCACATCCTTAAGCACCAACTTGCAGCCAAGGTTGGTCTTTAAATGGATATCACCCATGCCAATGATGTCTGCTGTGTCATAGTTGCCCATCTTGACAACACCAAAGTTTCCAGACCTATAT